CATCATCATTATCATCAACAACAAGAATAACAACAACAACAACAACAACAACATCGAATATCATTTTCTTTTACGAGTGATCAGAATCGATTTCGTTGTAGGTAATAGATAAGAAAAATTTCATGAATGAGTCAGAATCGAAACGTTTCAAATGGTGCTATGGGGTTTAGTTTTACCGGAAGAAAGTTAGATGTAGGCAGACAATAGGACTAAGTGCCAAGAAAAAGGAAGAAAGAAAGTAAGATAGAGAGAGAGAGAGAGAGAGAGAGAGAGAGAAAGAGAGAGTAAAAGAGAAGGGTGGAGGGGGGGGTCCCCTTAACCAGAAGAACGTCGTCTTTCGTGATTTGCATGCAATGCGAATGTAATACGATAAATATGTATGATTTCGGTGAGACAAGAGTGAAAACGTTTGATGGGATAACTACTACACACATGGATATTTATATATACAAATACTTATAGAAATATATATATATAGATGTGTGTGTGTGTATGTATGTGTATATATATATATATATATATGCAAACATATACGTAGAAATGCCGGATGCACGGAGTAGATTCTTGCGACACGATCCATCGATATCGTTTATTTCTTTTTTCTTTTTCTTTTTCTTTTTCTTTTTTTTCTTTTTTTAGCCTCCTCTTTCCCTTCAACGGCAAATGGCTTTAAGTTTTCATAGCACGTAAGTTCCGAGTAAACGAAACGGTAAAATGCAAGTCGTACTCGAAAAAAAATATATTTATATATATATATATATATATATATATATATATCTACACGCTTCCGGTTATATTAACGGGAGAGAGAGAGAGAGAGAGAGAGAGAGAGATGGTTCAATCACACCGAAAAAAAAATCGAAGGTGTCACGTATGAAAAAAAAGATATATTTAAGAATGACCTAGCCGCCCCTCTCCTATTCACCCCACTTCGCTGTGACGTCATCTCTCTTAGTTTCGTGCGCGCGTACACGCATTTAAGTTATGTAATTAGATACATAAATATGTTGGCGTGTAAGGAAGGAAGAAAGATGGAAGAGTTTGCGTTGATGATATAAATAAGCTGAGCACGTAATAGTAGTGATGATAGTAGTAGTAGTAGTAGTAGTATGAGTAGTAATAGTAGTAGTAGTAGTAGTAGTAGTAATAGTAGTAGTAGTAGTAGTAGTAGTAATAGTAGTAGTAGTAGTAGTAATAGTAGTAGTAGTAGTAGTAATAGTAGTAGTAGTAGTAGTAATAGTAATAGTGGTAAAATATGTTGGTATTAATCAACGTCCTCGTCATAGAGTTGGTTCGGATGGCGCCGGTAGTAGTAGTAGTAGTAGTAGTAGTAGCAGTAGTAGTATTAGTAATAGTAGTAGTCTAGGTATAGCAATTTCCAAGATAACAATCCCGTGAGTAAATGTTCCACCTTAAAAACACCATACGGGGAAAATCGCAGAAGGATCGGTTTCTAATTATCGACGATAACCGATAATGGCGGTAGATAACTATCCCGATGTTAACGCCATCTAATACGCCGTCAGATAATATTCAGATAAGAAAAGAAAATGCGGTAAGAAATTCTAATTACGTTTGTTAAGTTGAAAATACTTTAGGATAATATCGTCATTTATGATAGTTCGATAATAAATGGATGTGCGCGATTAGTATAGCATCTTTATCTCGTCACGTCTCATCGTTGTTCTTATAAATCATCGGCCAATTAATTCGACGAATGTTGATATTAATTCTCGTACGACGAATTTAGAATTATTTTGATTTGACGATAATCGTACGAATTAGACGGATCGAATTATTTAATAATAATCTAATTTATTTATACAAATATATCTAATTTTTATTTATCTCTGTGTATACGTATATATTAAAAAAAAAAAAATTAATTAATAAAAAAATTAAAATTATAATACATATATATATATATATATATATATATATATATATATATGTATGTATGTATATAAGGTGTATTTGACGTTGATAAGATGTATGCAGATTTATTATCCCATCTTGACAAATCTTATTAATATTTTGAAATTGAAATTTTATCAATCGATCAAAATGATTTTTTCTATTTACATTTCGCAATTCGTCTAAATTCATTTCTACGCTTTTTAAGGCGAATTGAAGAAAAAGAGGGACAGAGAGAGACAGTGAGAGGGGAGAGGAGAGAAAGGAGTAAAATAAGAAAGATAAGAAAGTTCATTCATTTCCATCGATTTCATTCACTGAAATTGAACGTTAATATATGAGCCGGATCACTTTTTGAATTTTTTTTTTTTTTTATATTTAAGTTGTTAAAACACTGTGTGTATTTTAATATAAATTCATATATAAATTTATATAAAAATGTTTCATAGAACGTTTCATAGCAAACGAATCGATCAAAAGGCTTATTTAGAAACAGTTTTACAATGTAAATTTGAATTTATGTTTTAAAGGGAATTTACAAAAAAAAAAAAAAAGAAAAAAAAAGAAAAAAGAAAGAAAGAAAAAAAACAGAGAAGGAAAGAGAAAAGATCAATTTATATCATTTCATTACGTTTCCTTCCTTTTTCTTGTCTTTCTTCTTTCTTCTTTCTTCTTTTTTCTTTTTTTTTTTTTCTTTTTTCTTACGTGGAATTAATCGATTTAACGAACTGAACGGGTTCGTACGTCGACGAGATTGATAGTGCACGTCACACTCGCCGGAATAGAATTACGATTGAAGTAATACGTCGAACTTAGTTTCGCCGAATAAGAAGGTGAAGTAGGTGGTGGTGGAGGAGGAGGAGGAGGAGGAGGAGGAGGAGGAGGAGGAGAAGGAGTGGGGGAGGGGGAAGAAGGTGCTGGGTGCTTCCAGAAGGCAGCAGCATTGCCCGCGAACGAGCGATTACGAGCGAAGTAGAAAGTAGTTGGGTAATGGTCAGACACGATCTCAGCGAATGAAGGTACTACTACTACTATTACTACTACTACTACTACTACTCTACTACTACTACTACTTCTGATACGTTTGAGGCAGCCCATAGGTAACATAACTAATGGCGAATAAAACGTGAGGGGGAGGGGGTCGGGTAGAGGAGAAGCGAGGTTATAGGGTCTGAGTATTATATATGTCGGATGATTGGTCTTAAAAATTTTCCAAGAGATTTCCCGATCGCGAATCCTTGGTACATTTAAGAGACATCGCGTAATTACGTTACAATGATTTTTTCATTGCGTTATAAGCTAGAACCAACGTCAGAACGTGGACTATAAGCTGCGGCTAGCCGCAAGTTACGAAGAAGAAGAAGAAGAAGAAGAAGAAGAAGAAGAAGAAGAAGAAGAAGAAGAAGAAGAAGAAGAAGAAGAAGAAGAAGGAGATATCATAAGCGATTTTTTATGTTGGAATAATTTAAATGCAAAACCCATCTTCTTTCCCTATCGTAATCGGTTCATTTTCATCGTAATACGATAGTAAAGAGGAGGAGGAGAAGCAGGAGAGTCAAAAAAGGAAAAAGAAAATCAAAAAGCAAAAGCAAAAAAGAAAGATTCGACTGACCGAAGAATGGTCAAGGAAAGTATGATCGCCGAAAGTAAATGATATTCGTCAAATCGTTGAATCCTTTTTGATATTCGTCGTCGTTTAATTCATCTCAGTAATCAATCGAGCTCCAAGGTAAACCAAAAATGGGAAGGTAGGTTGAATCATCCCCTATGATATATCTCGCTGAACATCTTCTCTCTCTCTCTCTCTGTCCCTCCCCAATCCTGCGTGCTTAGGGCAACATACAAGAGAGAAGAGATGATGTTTGGTGTTATATCCTCCACCCCCTTCCCCACCGCCCCTCGAAGTTCTGGCCAAGCGTGTATTCATCATTAGTTTGGATTTCTCGCTTAGTGGATTTATCATGCTATTGATAAGTGGAGAATGAACTCGAAAGACGAACACGTGGATTAGTCGTAAAGTTGGTCTGATCTTTTGCTTTCTCCTCATTCTACTACCCCATCATCACCTTCCCAACCTGTCGTATCGTTATTTAACGATCCATCAATTTTTCGATTCGGAATCTTTTATTCGGATAACAGTGATAGAATCCAAAAATTTGAGAGCATACGATACGTAATAATAAATGCAATATTATCGGGCTCTTAAGGGGTTTTTAAATGTCTAATTAAATGTCTTCCCGCGATACCGACGATTACTTCTTTCAGAAAGCTTGTATTCGTCCCTGGTTCTTAGAAGAGATCATAAAAATCGCACGTAATACCACTCAGCTCCTCGATAACTGGTCCGCCGATGGATTAACAGCCGACGGTGGTAATCGGAGGACTTCCTGAACCATCCGAGAGAAGTGCATTTCCTAGACGTCATTATAAGTATCGGTAGTGGAAAAGAGGGCCGCGAGGGGATGGGAGAGGAGGGGCGACGATTAAACGAATAAGGACTTATGGCAATAGAGAGAAAGAGAGAGAGAGAGAGAGAGAGAGAGAGAGAGAGAGAGAGAGACAGAGAGCGACTGTTGCTGCCACTGTAGCTGTAGCTGTAGCTGTAGCTGTAGCTGTAGCTGTAGCTGTAGCTGTAGCTGTGGCCGTTGCCGTTGCAGTTGCGGTTGGAGTGCATCTTTTATAACGCCCAGTAAAATGCACCTTTAAAAAGATTTCCCTGGGGCTTCACGAGCTTGGCGAATTTAATGATTTCAACCCTTTTACATTGGACAAATTACTTTCTAACTATTATGTCGTGACTGGCGTCATATTTTCTTGTATTTTTAAGACCAGATCACGACGCGAACGTCCGGATCGAAAAAGAAAAACGATTAAATATCCTCTTGCGCTGTGATGATCGAAGAAACGGGATTGATTTAATTTATGAAATCATGCCGGGGTATCGATTAAAGAATCGATTAAAGATCGTTACTTGGTTTTTAAAGAAGAACGGGGGAGGGGGGGGGGCAAAGAAAAAAAGAAGGAAAAAAAGGAAAAAAAAAAAAATAAAGAAAAAGAGAAAAAGAAAATAAGAAAGAAAAACTTACGAGTTAGAGGTAGAGCGTGCCGACTCGTCGAGGTGCTACGACCGTGACAGCCAAACGGGGTCCGCACTTGGTCGGTGGTAATGGTGCCGTGGTCGCGGGTGGTGGCGTTTCCGGTTTCGTACATCCAAGCCCGCTTCCACCTCGAAGTTCCCAGACTAAGTTCGTCAAAGAACGTGGTCTGCTCAAACGCCGCGATCTGAATAAATGACAAAATATAAAGGGATAATTATATTACATGTGAAATAAAAATGTTATATAAAAGAGTTTTTTTATTAATGACGTTATTGTTCATTCGTTTCACATTTGTTATACCTCTTTTCTGGAAGTTTAGCACCAGCACCGGAATCACCGGACGTCCTACCACCTGAATGGCTAGAATCTAGAGTCCCGTCAAGTTCCATAGCCTGTTGCAAATTTGTCAGACTTTTATAACGTATATTGAATAGAGGAGAACCACCTTTATAACCTGGCGGTGTCTCCTTTAAAGGTGATGCACTCTTTTGCCTCATCAAAGGACGTCCTCTCTGGGTGCCGCTATTTTTAACGTATAACTTTGCCAATGGTGGCTTCTCAAGTTTCGGCTGTGGAGCTTCCTTAACCGCTCGCCTCGTTCTCTTTTCAGCTTGAATCTTCTTCGTTGGGATTGTCTCGATCGGTGGTGGTTCCGGTCTATCGTCTAACAATGGGGCGATCGTAACGGTGACAGGTGTCAAAGGTGGACTGGAACTTTGGCCGGGATTTAATGGGCTTTCGTAAGGAGACCTGACGCTTTTGGGTAAGGGCGCGAAGCCGCGAACGTAATCGTAAATCTGATCTATCTCGTCGTAATCCTCGGTGCAGGAAGAAGGTGGCACGCGATTTTCGTCCCGGTATCCGACATGACCGGAGGATGTCTGATGACTGCTACTGTGATAATGATGATGATGATGATGATGACTGCTGTTGTTGTTCCTATGATGTCCAAGAGGAGCATTTTCCGAGTTGGCAGAAGATCGCCTTAGAAATCCCGATGCACTTCTGGTCTGTCTCGAGGGCTTACTCTCGCCCAAGCGGCCGTCTAGAACGTGTGCACGATCGGCAACGTCGGCTACGAGCCGTGAGGCTCGTTCGATCAACCTCGTGAATTCTTGCATCAATCTAAGTGCCTCCTCGTTTCTCGCCTTGACCAACTTCAAAGGTGCCGCCAATGGCAACGCCACCGCTGCTCCCTCTCTCTGTAAGGGCAATGCGAACACGTGTTCCTCCTCGAAGGTCGAAAGGAGCCTTAGTTCCGGCACGAACTGGGACGATGATTTCAAGCCTCTCGGTGGCTGCCCGTGGACCAATCTAACCGTTAGTGGTAGCCGTTTGCTCAGCAATGCCTTAGCCGTGTGAACGCCGCTAATATTATCCTCTCTGGCGAGTGCGCTGAAGCGTCCACGTTGTTCCATGCTCAAAAGTATACTCTCTCCTCGACAGTCGACGCAACGTAAGAAACGTCCGCGACCTGGTAATGCCACTTCACCGGCCGTCACAATTGTCTCACCAGCTGCCAGAGTTCTCGTTCCTTCGGGCACGACGATTCCAGATTCGTCATCCACTCTGCAAGCTATACCACGTACCGTTTCACGTACCAAGGCTCCCTCCTCCGGGCATCTTCGGGAGAGTTCGTTCACAGACTCGATTCCACGGACCTGTAGGAGTCCAAAGTGTTAAGGATAAATTCTAATTTTAATGCGTATTGCACTCACATGGAGAAAACAAAAAGAAAAGAAAACATGCAAAAGATTTAATAAACGATTAAATGAACATTAATAAAAGTCACTTCTCGTAAACCCACCGCTCGACCTTCCTCGCTCAAAATCTCAAAATATCCGGCATAGGAGTCCGGGATAGCTAATCTTGGCCCAACCCCAACAACTCTACGTCCTTCCTTGATTTTAACAGCCTGTGCCACAATTTTGCGCCTACGGCCTGCTGACAATAACAATGCCGTACTTTGAAGACTCGGGGCTGGAAGGGTTGGTACACCAAGACCACCATATTGACCCTTTGTAATCTTTATTACAGCCGGTAGACGATATTTAGTGACAAATTCGCGCAAATATGTCGCTTCCTCGGCCCAACGTGCGGCCGCCACGACAATTTGACCATCAGTTGCAGCCATCGTCCTAGCCGTCCAAGTGAGACGGACTATGACGTCTTCCTCTCGTCCTCCTCGAGAGGTTAATCCCTGTTCTTTCCTCCAGGACCTCTTCCTCCAGGTCCCTTTCTCAGCGCTACTCTTCTTGCTTCTGTTTCTGTTCTTGTTGTTGTTCTTGTTGCTGTTGTTCCTGTTGTTCTTGTTGTTCTTGTTGTTCTTGTTCTTGCTTCTGCTGCTGCTCCTGCAAATCCAACTTCACTTCTTTAAGCTCCATCTGAAAGAAAATAAAGATTACATTATTCATTTCGTGTTTTAAAGACATTTATAACGTTTGCAAATTATCCACGATAATCCTCCTTTTCTAATTTTCTTTTCTTTCTTTTCTTTTCTTTTCTCATCCTACCTTTTTACATTATCTTCTTCTACAGCGTGCACTTTTTTTTGTTTCTTCTTTTTTTTTTTCTACGTTAACGCTACACGCTCCGACAATATGTTTATTATAGTGAAAAACTTTTTTCAACCTCAATAAACTGGATAATGGTAAAACTCTAACGTGACTCTGATCTATGTCGTTATTCTACGTGACAAGCGAAACAACGTCTTTCATCAGAAAATAGATCTTATCGACGACAACGTGACGCGGCATTCGAATATTATAACGTATATTTAGTTAGATTAAATCATTCGTAAGACGAAGTATATATGTATATATTTTATATATTAATATATATATATATTTATATATATATTTATATATTTATATATATATTTATATAATCGGGGAAATATACGTTGATTTATTTAATGACAACGTTATATATAGATTAGTTTCAAAAGCGACTAAGGCGAGGGAGTCGCGAGATTAATTATTACGATTAGACCGTCTTATTACTTTCTTCCTGTTATAATATTCGTGATTATAGATGGCAGACGTAGATAAAAATGGTTTGCCGGGTTCTGTGATGCTCCGGTAACACAATGAGATTTAAGTAAATATTGTTGAGTAAAAGGTAATTGTGGGTGAAAAGTTAATGATTGTGATTAAGATTTATAATGTTACTTTTTTATATACATAATTTATATATATATATATGTATATATATATCTATATATAAAATTTTAGATTACAACATTTTTATGATTTTCAGTTTTTCTTACGGAACGTTCTATATTTTTATGTTTCACCAATTACATAATTAATATCTTGTTAATTATTAAATTTTATTCTAATAATCGTTTAATAATTTTTTAATGACGATCTAATAAAATATATCATTAATTAAAAAAATATTATATTTATATACATATATATATATATATATTTCTTTTTTATTCCCAACAAAGAAGACATTCAAACGATTCGTTTGATTTCCAATCAATTCGTATCATATAATTTTATATATTTTTTGTTAAAACTTAAAGGAAAAGAAAAAGAAAAGAAAGGAACCAAAAAAAAAAAAAAAAAGAAAAACTTGCGAAAAAAAAAAGAAAAGAAGGAAAGAAATTATAAACGATTAAAGTTAATCGTACGATTATATTGAATTCATTCGATCTATACGAAAATGATAAATAATATCGCATAATAATTTCGTTTTAATCGACGATCATCTAGTTGGATTATATACAAAGTATATAACATCTATCCATTCGAAATCTCATGGGAAATACGATGAAACGCAGAAAGGCGCCAGTTTTACGTTCGTCACGGGTGAAAACGAAGTTTGCTTTCCACGTTTCTTCTTGGCTATGTCTTAACGTTTACACGCGAGCTAACGTGTAAGGATACGTGAGCTGACGTTGTCATTAGTCAAATTCCAATTACCGGACCGGTTTCATAATTTCCACGGCAAGGGCACTCGTCGTTCAAAATTATATACGCCGAGAGGAATCGTTGGATGCATCTCTTCTCTTCTTCGCCGTATAACACATGCCAACGAAAGAATCATCGAGTTTCAACTTATTCGTTACGTATCCCCCATAGACGCAAATAGAAATTATTACATATTTAAATTGTGTGTCTCGAAAGAAAGAGCGAGCGAGAGAGAGAGCGAGAGAGAGAGTGAGAGAGAGAGAGAGAGAGAGAGAGTGAGAGTGAGAGAGAGAGAGAAAAGAGAAAAATATATCAAATAAGTCCAATACTGACACGATCGAAAAGTTTGTCATAGTCTGTCTCTTTTTATTTCTTTACTTTTTACTTGATTCTTTTTTTCTTTTTTTTTTTCTTTTTTTTTTTTTTTTTTTTACCTTTTTTCTCTCAGATTTTTTTGCGTCAATGATTTGCTTTTATAAATTTTCTATAAATCGTTAACAAGCGTCGAGATTATTATTATTATTATTATTATTATTATTATTATTATTATTATTATTTCTTTTCTTTTTTTTTTTACAAGATTTTCGTGAAATTGTTCCGATGGCGCAATTGAATCGTTCCGATTATTATTTTTTTATTTTTTACTTATCTTTTTTCTTTCTTTTTTTCTTTTTCTTCTTTTTTTTTTTAACTATAAATCTTCGAGAAATTGTTCCGATCGTAAAATTCAATTGCTTCGATTTGTTTTTTTTTTCCTTTTTCTTTCTCTTTTTTCTTTTTTCGTCTTCTTCTCTTCCTTCTCCTCTTTTTCTTCCTCTTCTTCTTCTTCTTCTTCTTCAATAAATCTTCGAAGAGATTGTTACGATCGTAAAAAATACGACTGTAGAGACGTACTCTTTTTCTTTAAAAATATTCAAAAGATTTTCTTCGGATTCGATTAAAAATTCATTCGATCGGGACAAAAAAAAAAAGAAATTTCAATTGCAATATTAAATATCTAACATATTATATACACACATACACACACACATATATATATATATATCTTCTTTACAAATATTTCCTTCCTATATATCATTCTTTTCACTAAATGTAACAATTGTTTCGAACGATATTTTAATGCCTTTAGAATATTTCGAAAAAAAATATACACGTACGCATCGACATCAATATACTGATATAATATCAATAAATTATATCAGCAATCTGAATCGTACTCGTTAACTTTTATTTATTTATTTATTTTTTCTTTTTAATGTTGCAAAGTATTATATTTATTTTTTTACGAAATCAATGACGAAAGATCCGTTTCAAGGACATTTTTTTAATTGATCATTAAAAATCACGTCGAAACATCGACCAATTCATTTTCATGAGACAATATGCCGTATATAGTTGTGTATACAACAGGATGGGCGGTGAGGAGAGAAGAGGGCATGGTCGGGTGGGGGTGGGGGTGAAAGAGAGGAAGAATTCTAAGGAATAGGAAGAAAGAGGGAGAAGAAATAAAAATTAGAAAGTTGTTTGCTAATGTTGTTCCTAACTTAACGAAATTACACACTCGGTCTCTACGGCATTCTTTTTAAGGTGTCAATTGAAGGAAACGCCATTTCTTTATGGCGGATACCGTTAACCGTTCTACTACGGTTCCCATAACCGTTTAGATTATTTTCAGGGTTAATTACATTTCGACTTTCATGATCCTGGAAAGCGAGTAGAGGAAAAGATATTTTTTATTTTCTTTTTCTCTCCACCGCACCCCCCCCCCCCCTCCTCCCACCCCCTCCGCTCCCGCCTTCCCTCACACACATACACTCGAGAATCTTCGAAGTTTTAATACTTGAAACAACGGAGAAAGTCTCTCACTTGTGAATTTATTTGCGGGAATTCTTGTTCGTAAAAAAAAAGAAAAAAAGAAAAAAAGAAATAATAATAAAAAAGAAGAAAAAGGAAAAAAAGAGTAAAAAAAAAAAAAAAAAGAAAAAAAGAAAGAAAGAAGAAAGAAGCGGCGTGCGAATATAATTAAACTTTTGCCGGTTTTAATTGGCCAACTTTCTTCTCGCTTGACTGGCATCATTTTGTTTATTATTGTCGAATCAAAAAAAAAAAAAAAAAAAAAAAAGGAAAAAAGAAAGCTAACTTTTTTTAGTTAACAATGATTGACAATAATCACGCTGAACGACGTTGTTACGTCTCTCTCTCTTTCTCTCTTTATTTATTTTTTTTTTCCTTCTCTTTTCTTTTTCTTTCATGCGTTCAATTAAGACACAACATGCCATTATTTTTTTTCTTTCTCTTTTTCTTAGCTCTCACTCTCTTTCAATGGACTATGGATAATTGTCACATACGTGATATGTATAACACGATCTGTCATATAACGCGAACTTCGTAAACATTATGAACACGGACTTACGTATAGCATGATATAAAAAAAATTGTGCAAGCATTCCCACGAAAGATTAATAATTTCAAAGAATGATTTTGATATATTACATTAAATTATAATTTATATAATTATTTTACAGAAATTATTTTCCGTGCATGACATCGACGAATTAATGAAGAATTAATAAACTTGAATGTTTTTTATAATGATTTTTTTTTTCATATATATATATATATATATATATACACACACACATATATATATAAAACTAAAATGGCTATACATATGTAAATACATACATACATTAAATAAAAAAATGAGAGTATCCATGCGTATCCAAAGTATCCATATGGATATATATATATATATATATATATTTATATAAATATATATATATAGGAATATGTATAATATATAGAATATTCTTAAAAAAAAAAAACAAAGAAAAGAAAGAGAGTATGTAGATACATACGTACATACACATAAATATATTTACATATACATACATTGTATGTATATATATATATATATATAATATATTTTTTTACGTATAGATGGGCGTGTCTCAGCAATTGTTTAGGATTTCTCCATCAAGAGAATATCATAGCGACGAAATATAACGGTCATGACTTAGCCGTAAATCATCACGTTTCCGAAACGAACGATTCCTCCTCCAGCAGAGGAATTGCTTCACGGTGTTGTATATAATCGATCGTGTAACGCGGTCTCTCTCTCTTTTTTTTTTTTCTTTCTTTTTCTTTTTTTTCCCCCCGTACTTTTTCCTTCTCTCTCTCTCTCTCTCTCTCTCTTTTTTTTTCTTTTTTTTATATCGAACAAAAGAACAAAAGAAAGAAAGGGGGGAAGCTTTATCGTGCGTGTCCTCTCTCTTCTTTCCTCAGATCTTCTATCGATTGATCTTCGTTAAAAACCTTCCGTTACGATCGAACTTCTTCGTGAACGAAGAATTATTTTTGCAACTTTTTACCGTTACCTTGAATGAAGATGAATCCCTGACTGATGATCAACTCCGTGCGAACGTCGAAGGAAAACAAAAAGTAGAGAGAAAGAGCTTAAGAAC